AAAATTAGCAACATTCACCTCTTATTATATCACACAGAAGTAAAACACCATGCGTATTTTAAGTGATAATAATAATAATAATAATGATTGTTCAGTCAACTTGTTACAATGTTTCATTATTTTTGAAAAAAAAGATTGCATTTTGTTGTTATGCTAGTCAGAATTGTTATTTGATTGTTTTTTTTAGTTCTTTGGTTGATAAAAAAAGATGCCGAGTAAAACTACCTGATTTTTTCTAGTTACTTGTTTATTTATGAAAGATGTGTTTATACGCATAACTGAATAAATGAGTTATAGGTTGGCTTTATAGTCCAATTTATGGACTAGATTGAAAAATATGGAGGGAGAACAATGATAAGCGAAAGGAAACGGAGGGTGTGTGTGGGAGAGAAGGAGAGCGAACGCGGGAAAACAGAAATATCTGAGAGTATACTTTGTATATGAGAGAAATTGGCAGTATATAAACTTATAAGTTACTAGGGAAAAATTTTGTTTTTAAAATAGTTTATTACTTATTACCATTATTCTATGTTATATGTTGACAACTAAACTCTTGTTTTCCGAACATACAAGGCACCCCATAATTTGCACGTGTGTGTGTGTGTATAAGAACGTTACAGTCTCTCCCTTTAATCTGATTTGAAAACATTGTAACTTAACTATTCAAGTCAGTAGTGCTCATCATGAAGTATTAATACATAATACATGCTATGTGACTAAATAATATGAGACCAATACAAGAACTAATTATTTTTCGAATGTTTTCTTACAAGTAATAAAACGACAATGTATGCTACATATATCATTGAGTGAAAAAAAAAGAGATTGATAGTGTTCGAGCAAATAATCGTCATCAACGTTGTTGAAAATCAAATGTTTCTACTTAAGTTGATCTTAACTAATCTTTTGATTTTCCTGATATTTAAGAATTAAGTGTTGATTTATTTTTCAAATAATTTCAATCAGTCACTGAGTTGAAGCATGAAGAATATCATTTACTCTCTTGATTTAGGTAATCTTTAATTTAGCCCGAGGCATATATATATATTATAACTGACCTGATACAGGTCAATTATCTTTTCTAAACTTTCAGAAATGATATTTTTATATTCAACCATGAATTAGTTATTATTATTATCATGTGTTTATTGTGATAGAAAAAAAGAATCCTTTATACAGAATCAACAGTTACATTGAACTTGTTTTGTAAACATTCCTCTAAACAGCCTTATGGATGAATTGGATAGCTGAGATGAATTCCCCTTGGGTAATCACATAATGGTAAATAAATATGAATTGAAATGTAAAATTTATGGGAAATTCAGTTTTATTTTTCAGATTTGTAAACAACTCAAAAAGACTATTCTTGATAGAGCGAGATATTTAATCTAAGGCTGCGGTTGGAATTAAACAGCAGGAAATCGCAAGTTGCACTTAGCACATTTTACTGAGATGTACTAGCAACCTTAAGAAACTTGATTCTCCCTAGAGGATTCAATCCCGTGTCACGCAGATTAATAGTCGGAGACGTTGCCACTGAACTAGATGACAGGCGAATTTCGTTCTGTAGAGTTGTGTTTACAATTGAGTGATCATTGGATAGTGAATCATGTCATTTTTATCTGGTTCTCTAATGATAATAGAAGTCTGTCTATCAAGTTGAAGTGTAACCATGGGTCTCAATGGCTGGACATCGTGTGTTGCAACCGACGTATGTCAAACAGCATTCGTGGTCTAGAGTCGAGTCAATCTAACCATCATCTTACATTTCAGTATGTCACTTAGATTAATGGCCACATTTCATACTGATCGACAGAATTCGATTTGCACAAAAAAGGACTTGATATACATGACTACTACCCAGTTCTCTAATCTCTTATTAATTAACATAACTGCGAATCACTGTAAACTCTCTAAACACTTAACATGAGAATGATGAGTTTTTATCTTTTTGACGATAACTTAGCAATACGCATATGATGGATAGAACTCAGATGTGATGAAATTTCTTGGTGAACAAAAAATATCTTACAAAAACAAACAAACAAACGGAGCCTGAAAATAAAAACTGTCTTTTCAAAGTTAATCACTAATTTTCAATTCAATCTTAGTAATAACAATTTATTTTGAGTTTAGAGGAGAAATAACTGCAATTATATCGGAAAATTAAATATTGAAGTCATTGAAAAGGACATCGCATTCAAGTGTTGTATTCTCTAGCAGATACCTGATATAAGGATGTGCCAAAGATAAACCGCTGTTCTTAATCACTTCACAGTGTATTTACTGTTATTTTCGTTGTTATGAACCACCATCTTTTGGCTGCATAAATTGTGCTATTTCCAAGTGCATAATTGAACACTAACCAGAATGTTTTGCTAACATAACATTCGAATCAGTTAATCATTCTAATAATAAGCAGTTCAGGTCATCTACTATCAGTCAGAATCTTTATTTAAAATTGTTTACAAAATCACCCACACTAATCCCAAAAGATGGTTTATAAAAACACTTTTTAATAAATGAATGGGATTTTTCTTAAATGTAAGACGATAGGTTGTTGAATAGTTTAAATAAAATGATCATGAACAAAAAATATCAACTACTGAAGTTATTTCATAGAAAAGCCTTCAAAGAAATGGAACATCAAAATAGTTCGTTATAATTTATACCATATGATAACAATATCCTAGTTAGTAGAAACAAATCCTTTAATGATCAGTAACACTGTGAAAGTTGATTCTTCCATAGAAACTGGTCATATATATATCACGCCTGAAACCCAGAAATTTATATTCAGAATAGCGTTTAAGTTTATTATTTATGTCTGTCCTAGTCCAATCCAAGTTCATGAAGAAATTGTAGAACTGTGAAAAAATTCAAATGTTTTAAATATTTCTTGATAAAATCATATTGTCTTTTAAGGATAGATATTAAAAATAGATGCCTGCCTAGTTTATTCTTTTCCTTACAGACATACAAGGGTCTTTTCTTCACATACACATACACTCTCATCCAACTTCTATTTTAACCTAAACAAAAAAATTGATTGACATTCTGGCCGTTTCCATTGAAAAATAAATTGCCCAGATTCATTTCATTAATTCATTCAACTAAGTATCTAACTAACTAACTAACTAGGTAGGTAGGTAAGTATTTATGACCTTAACAAAAAAGGTTCTTTTTTTCACATTCAATTATTATATTATGCATTTGTTTATTTATTTGTGTACTGATACTTTTCTCTTCCATTTTTCTTTATTTTTTAACCATTTTTTGTTAATTTATCAGGTAGAAAAAAAAATGTTACGAAAGTTTAACTTTGATTACGTTTTCTGGTCTCCTGATTTCTTCTCTCTCCCTCTCTGTCTCTCTCTCTCTCTCTCTCTCTCTCTCTCTATATATATATATATATATATATATATATTCACCTATTCAGTTATTCATCCATACAATCAATCAGATAACACAGGAATTTTACCAGCTAACTAACTCAGTCATTCACTTACTAAATAATAGAGAAAAGTTGGGCTAATTCCCTTATATGAAGTTTGTCTAAATTTCTACACAAATTTCTCGTCTTTTTCTATTGTTTGACCTCATTACAACTTTGATTATTATTATTATTATTACTATTATTATTAGTGTATTATCGTCACCATTGTGATAACTACAAATAATATAGGTAATAATAATAACAGTACTGATTATTATTATTATTATTACCAGTAATAATAGTATTGTGTTGGCTAAGACTGAATAGACAGTTTAGATAAAAAATAAATATGACCTCGTCTTCGTCTATTATATTTTTTGTCAAAAAGATTGATGAGAACGTTTCAGATATTTTCATTATTTCAGTATTGGTCACTGGTTTTGCTTCGAGCAAGGCATTTTTCTTGGAAGTATGAATATATACATATATATAAATTCAATAGACTAGCATTCAACCCTTATTTCAATCAAATAAGAAATGAAATTAAAACAGTTCAGTGAATAAATAAATAAATATTTATAATTTTATTAGGAAAATATCTAAACAGAAGTCTTATTTAGGTTAAAGTCTAGGCGTTAATTATTACAAGAGAATGAGAAAATAAGATACTTAAAGGTGTATGAGGTTATATATAAATCTAATTTATTCACAAGGCAAGATAATCTTAGAATGAAGAAGAATTGGGCAAAAAATCCTAACACCAAGTTGATGACTATATTTTTAATGTTATATATATTACACTTTAACTAAATTCGTTTGTAATATTACTTGTTTAAATGCATAACCTTTCGTTAATATTATCTATATGAAAATTATTGATACTATCCGAATTTAAGTCAATTGAATGATAAACAATATAGAGTCTGACATATATGCATAAATTTATTTTGCTATATAATATCAACGGACTGAGATGAAATTACTAAAGCGAATGTTATGTTAGTAGAAGTTGTAATGAGATTAGTGGTAATAGAAAAGATGCATGCATGAGGGCGGGAACAAACAATATGAGTCGTGAAGGAGAAATGAACTAGTGAGACAAAATGTATGAAACAATTTTAAAATTCAAGATTTAAAGGAAGACAAAGATACATATCACTGAATGTCGTCAACTATTCACTCGCTATTATTGTGTGGACCATTACAAAGTAGCTTATTCTTACCAATACAACTCACTCCAATAGTCAGTGTCTTTATGAATTAATAACATAGCCTAGTCCTGCCAAGTTACTGATATACCAGTAAACATTAAATGTTGGGGACTATCCGAGCCTATAACATACTGATTGGAAGTCAATTGTTTAAACCATTAACTACTGTATCATGTACAATATGTAATAATCATATACTAACTGAAAACATCATACAGTCCAAGTGCATTCGAATTTGTTTTTACTTTAAGATAACTAACAAACAATTTGTTATATCAGTTATCACTCAATCATTTTACTTATACATGATGTTTACATGGTGTGTCTTGTATATTGTTTTTTTCTGTTTTTAGCTACACTTCCACATCATCTTATAAATGTGATTGTCTTATTTTTAATCAAATCTATTATACTATACTGTTGATTGTGAAACTCGTAATCTTATTAACATCAGCTTTGTATATTCTGCTAATTGTTAACATTGATACCTTATAATCATTAAACTGAAAGTTGTTATTCACAAATGAAATTAATCAGCAAAGAAATGTATATGGAAATAAAAACAATTATCATATAAGAAAGACTAGCTATTACCATTTCACAAATGAATATAAATGGTAACTAATCATTGTTTAAAGGAAATTTTAAAATAAAATATCATGAATTCATTTATTTCATGGATTCTCCTCCGTTGTTTATAATCTAGAACCAAAGTATTAATCATGAAAAAGAAATAACTTTACAGATTTTATATCAGAACCGTCTAGAATAAACTGAGTCAAAATGTAAAGACAAAAGAACTATAACTGTTCAAACATTCGCTTATTTACTGATTAAATAGTTGAATATTGTAGAAAAGCATAGAGACAGTAGATTATGTAATATAGACTAGTTTACTTAAGCTCAGAAGTAAGTATTAGCATACTAGAATTTTGATTACATTTTATGAAAAAATAAAAACAAAGTCCTACATAATATTTTCTTGATTGAGACCATGAACCGACTGATGTTATAACACCTTTGGGGACCTGGAAGCACTGGACGGCCGTTTCGTCTTATCGTGGGACTCCTCATCAGTGCACATCCACGATCCCGCTCGCGGGATTCGAACCCAGAGTCTTCGGTCTTGCGCGCAAACGCTTAACCTACTGAACCACTGAGCCGGCATCCAATGGTGATAATGTCTAACATCAACCAATCCACGAAATTGCGCGACCATCTTCCATTGTAATGAGATAGATACCTGTCTCTACCCGACATGGATTAGCCCCACTGGTCACATAATAATCTCACGGAAATAAAATCATCAGAGTAAAAGATGATGTCTAATCGTTTCTTTATGGATACATGAATTAGGTTTAAATTGTTTGATTGTAATGGATTCGGTTAAGTGTAACAGTTTGGGATTCCTTTGTTTATTGATTATTTTGAAAGATTTCACAATTTACACACAACACAAATAGGAAAAGTTGTATAACACATTTCAATTGTTTTTTCTTTAATAGTTACTAGTTAAGGACTTAGGAATTAAAGAATTTCGCATAGTTTGTACGGGAAATTCTTAACTGTATTTAAACATACATGGTGTTGAATAGGGAGGGTTTTATTATTTTTTTTACCACTTAAAGGATTAAAATGGAAAAGAAATGAAATCCATGAAATAGGTTTTGATTAATTGCAATGAAGATTCAAAGACATTTTTCAAATTAACTATGTATGAAGAAATAATATCATTTCTACTCTTGGATCATTGACTTGTCGAGTGTAAATTATAATAAAATTTTATCCACTTTTTAGTAGTTGTTAAAAAACAAGCCTATGTGAATCAGATAGAATGGACAACTAATACTATAGAGAAGTAAGAAACTGAAAAACTTTGGAAAATTGCAAAAAACCGAAATTGTAGTGAAACTACTTTTTTATATAGTGACAGCTATGACCTTGTAACTTAATAAAACTAAAAAACTAAAGACGAAAGTAACCAGTCAGGTTACACAGAAAGAGGTCAATGAGATAGTGTAGGTCGGAAAAGGCTATCAAGGATCTTCTTGTATTATTAATTAGTTGGGAGGTAGAAAAGTAGGTCATTTGAGACTTTACCAATACTGATATCAATCCCGCTCCAAGACAATTCAATATATTAACTTTTTAAAATGCAAAATCCCATGTCTTACCTAAGTAAATAATGTAGTATGATGTTTACTCTTAAGAAAAACTATTACTACTGAAGCCAACACTTATTGATTCCTAACCTGTGTCACATAGATACGATAATATATGCACACAAGAACATTAATTAGTTAGAAGCAGTCACTAAGATATTGATGTTGTGATCTATAACAACAATCCATAGACTTAATGATAACTGATACTCTGCCTCTTTAAGTGTCCCGAACAATATAGTGAACGAGAAATCAGGTGGGGAAGAACAATTTATTGTTTAATGAACAATCACACAGTGCTTTAGTAAAACGTGAAAATCGTCCATCAAATACATAATCTGCATATCTTTCAGCTGTCCTTTGCATCCCTCATGATTCTTCTAATTCTGCTTTAATTCCAATTCCTTTCTTGACAAGCATCCCAATTCCATTGATGTTACATACTACTGATGTCTGTCGACACGAGTAGCACAAATCACGATGTCATTATTTATTGTTTCATTCAGGTCGTGGATGCGCACTGCTGAGGAGTCGCACAGTAGGACGAAACGGCCATCTAGTGCTTCCAGGTTTTCCATGGTGGTCTAGCTTCAATTGACTCATGATCTCAACCACTGGAATTACTATAATATCCACAAAACGCTTCTGATATGAATCATTTAGATATATTTTCACATTGCTATTAAATCAGTATCCTAGTTCACTAAAGTTATAATGATAATATCCTTATAAACAATATAAAGAATTTGAAACTACTTCGGTGATAAACTATGTTTGGACTGTTTGATCTGATTCTCTATGATTGTTTTTATATACGTTGAATATTGAAATGCTAAATCTAACCTATTTTATAAATGTTAATAAAACTGATTAACAATTCATATTATAGACTTGAGTTTTAACGAAATAAATAAATTTAGGTTTTTGAAATATGTAATGAAATAAACTTAATAGTCAGTTGATTATTGTATAGTGTTCACACTTGATAGTTTCTTCTATCTACACTTTGGCAGTACATATAAACTGATAAATTTCTATTGGAAAACAATATGAAATTATGTTAAGTTGTGAATTTTCAACAAAAAAACTATTCAACCAGAGCTGAGACTATTATTAATATTATTATTGCCATCATCATTATTACCGTTCAACTTTCACTAGTATGAAACAGTCACTATAAATGTTAGGCAATCATTCCGCTTCATTTTGTGTCTATGTGACGATACAATTCGCTTTGTATATCTATCCTTCATTTTAAATCAGCTTATATATAAAGTTTAATTTATTATTAATACTTTTTCACTCAATGAAATGGTATTACTATCTCTATAATCCATTTCAACACCCTAAAAGTAGTTAGTAAGTTAGAAGCAAGCTATTGAATAATAATTTGTTGTTGTTTTTCCATGAGAATTTTTATTTCATCCCTGTTAGACTTAATGGGATTTCTGTTATTCTTCTTTTTTTGTTCAAAACATTTTGTAAGAGAAGTAATAATCGAAAAAAAGATAACTGAAAACAAAATGGATCTAAAAAAAAGGTAGCAAATACTCTGTGATACATAAAGCAACAAAGATAAGTTGTATTCAAATACTCTAATCCGCTTAAATTACAATTTATATTATGAGAAAATTAGTAGATTGTTATGTGTTTCCATATTGGTGTTTTGTGAATAATTTTTTTCTTGTTGTTGATGTTGTTATTGTTGTTGTGGTTGAAAAATTCCAATACTTCAACTTTCAGATTATAATCCTTATACACATTGCTCTTTTTTTCCGCTTTTTCTTCCTCTTCATTGTTTTGCTGATAGAAATGATACTTTTCTTGTTATTTCTCTATTTTTCACGTATATGTTGACAAAAAAAGAAGTGACTATTTAAATTTAAACATTAATCCGTTTAGGGAATATCATCGTGAATCCAAGTTGCAGTTAAATCTTTGAGCAAGTTTTTTTAGGAAAAAAAACGGTTGAATGTAGAGTAGAATATGTTTGAAATCTACTTTCTTAATACTTACGTAATGATTTTAGTAATGTGCATTAAAATATTAAGATCAAGGTATTACATTTGATGTGATCAGGTTGTTAATAATTTTCTATTGAATACTGATTGATCTCTGAATGGTAATGATTGATATAGCTATTTATCCCATAGACATGATTGAATTCTATCAAGCTAAAATGTGGCTACTGGTCTAAATGATTCAACATCATTTATGCTAAGTTATTTGATGGCTATCAGTCAGAAGCTATGTATTTTGAGGGCTGATGGTTTTACATTAAATTAATCATCGGAGGTATGTGGTGGCAGAAATAATCTAGTAGGATTAGTGAAAATGAACGACTAGGGTTTATATTTCACGATAAGCATCAGTATTTTCAAGGCAGCAGTGATCTCTTGTTGACATCTTTCATTTAACACAAAACTTAGTTTTAGGATTTTCTGTTAATAGCCTACAGCCATAGTGGGATTAGAATGAGCACTGGTAAACAGTCTTATACAATCCCTTCTGATTTTCAATGGTTTTCTTTAACGACTTCCAGTCTTCGGTTTATGAGTCAATAAATTTAAATAAGTGACCTTATAGTTCTAAATCTCGACAGTAAATCTCAACATTTTAGGAATAAATTCATGACATAATACAGATATTTTGATCGATTCATGTTAACACTGACAAATTAGTGTTTATTTGAGTAGAAGATTTAGGAATTAAGTAGTATTCATGATTCTATTACGTTTAAATCTTTTTTTTCTATGATAACAACAGTTTGAATTATATACTTACTATTGATTTCTCTTTTTTTTGTTTTTTTTCCCGAAAACAATAAAAAATGTATTTTTTAGATATACTCTACAATGTGTCCTTCCATTGAATATGTTCCTAGAGAAAATCTACATATTTCTATGGTTTTGGCATTGTTTAGTTGGTATAATTACATTGAGTAGTTTTATTATTTGGTTCTATCGTATGGGATCATCTAAATGTCGTATCAAATTCATTCGAAAATATTTAAAAATTATGTCAGTTATGCGTGATACAGATAAAGCGGCAACTAGTAAATTTGTTGAAAATTATTTACGTCCAGATGGTGTTTTTTTAATACGTTTAATATCAATAAATGTTGGTGATTTAATGGCTGGTGATTTAACTTGTGAATTATGGCATATTTATCGACATAAACGTTTACATGAAACTATGGAAGAACAAAAATATCTTGATGCATTTAGTAATACACCAGGCGATTATTTGATTAATAATAATAATAACAATAACAATAATAATGGTTCCAGTTATATTGGTGAAACAAATGATTTAATATTAGGCACAACTATACCATCTTCAAGATATTCAAATAAAAATCATTCACCAACTGCACCACCTAGTCAAAATGCAATCATTAGTACAACTTCAAATGTTGCAGTCCCTGGGACAAATATTAATAATACAATGAATCATAGTTCTAGTAATAATGATGATAGTATTGTCTAATTGTATCCATTGCATCATATATATATTTTTTTTCTTTAATAAACAATCAATAATTTGTAAAATGATAAATACTTATTATATATATATATATATAATATATAATTCTGTATATGCACACTAACATTTATCGCTTGTTTATATATATATATA